TCTATTGTAGAATAAGAACGTTATCCTACCAAGTTTACTGTACATTGAGAGTTTCTGAATTTCCTTTTTAATCACCATGTTGTAGAAAAGCGCAGTTAGTGTTGCCGTTAAAACAGATGTGACCAGCTGCCTGATCGGGAAAGCATAGCAAGATCCGACAAACTGTAACTAGAGCCATGTAGTGACTTCCGTTTTTATATCTGTTCCTCATCCACTCTATAAGCGTTGGCAGCACACGTTCCTAATATCAAATCAGTGTTTTGGAGGGTTGAAAAAGAGTTCATTTTAACTTAAAAACATTTAAATTGTTTCTAATGACATTAATATTTTATAAAACTCTGATTTTGAAGGTCTTGTCTTCTGTCCTGGGATCAGATTACAGTTTTTTCGGCTGTGCAGCACTGCATCAGAACCTAAATTTTTATCTATATTTGTCCTTATATAATTATTATTATTATTACTAACAATGATTGATGTTTGTTTATTTAAAAAAAAAAAAGCCCCTGACAAGATAAGGCTCGAGGATCAAACACTATGTTAGTATTCATTTCAAACACACCGGGGGGGGGGGAGAAATGTCTTTTTTGATATGTGTGTGTAATCGAGCATATACATACATTGATTTTATTGCTTCACAGCTGTAATTCAGTACCGAACTGTAAGAAATGTGTGTTGTGAATAAGAAAAAGGAGGATAATAGCTCATACATACCCTGCATGCATGTATTCCTTGTGTTGTTAAGCTTTTTTTCCAAGTCATTAATAAAATGGCTATATTTGTAAACTCTGCTGTTTTTTTTTTATTATTTGATTCAGTGTACAGGTAACTTACATTTTCCAGATTCCAGAACATAAAGAAGTGTTAGATATGGGCTTAACTATTATCAGTCATCAATTATTAGTTAAAAGGATTTCTTCATTTGGTGCAAAACTACTACAATGTTTAGTAATGTACAGGTCAGTGCGTCAGTCTTGCTGGGACGAGCAAGTGTTCCCAGAAGGAAATTATTAACGGAACAGTATCAATGACTCACCTTATTTAAGTATTTCACTTCTCGAGGGTTGTTCTTCAGAAAAACAAATAAATAATGACATAAAAAAAAAGACAAGGGTGAATCTTCACCTAATCACATTAAGCGGTTTTACAGTCTCTTCTTGTTTAAAAAGGAGGGCTTCTTCATCCTGTTCAATTTCATGAGAAATGCTGTAATTGCATTTTGTTTTTAAGTGTGTGTGTAGATATTTAACATTAATTGGTTAAATTACATTTGGCACAGTGGTGCAGTGGTTAGCACTGTCACCTCACAGCAAGAGGGTTCAGGGTTCAATCCCAGGAGGAGCCCCTTCTGTGTGGAGTTTGCATGTTCTCCCTGTGTCAGCGTGGGTTTTCTCAGGGTACTCCAGCTTCCTCCCACAGTCCAAAGACATGCAGGTTAATTGGTGACTCTAAATCAGCCATAGGTGTGAATGTGAGTGTGAATGGTTGTCTGTCTTCATGTGTCAGCCCTGTGATAGTCTGGTGACCTGTCCAGGGTGTCTCTCGACCAATGTCAGCTGGGATAGGTGACCCTCAAGAGGATAAGCGAAAATGGATGGTTAAATGACTTTTTTCACATTTGTATCAAACTTGTTGAAGTGCCACAAGTGTGCACAGTGGTAGCGTAAGTATTTTACTCAAGTACAGCTTTAAAGGCACTTGTACTGTGGTTTGTCTGTCTTGTGCTACTTTCCCCTTCACTACATGTCAAAGCAAAACATTATACGTTATACTTCCTTGAATGTTTGACAGCTATAATTACTACTTACTTTTAAGATTTAGGTTTATAACAAAACGTGTGATAAACTTACATACTAAGATTACATTGATAATACATCTTAAAACAGATAACGTTAAACCAGTGGTTTGCAACCTTTTTGGCTCGTGACACCGGTGACATATCAGTGTCTGGTTTCAGATGTTCATGAGTTGGAGCAAATAATTATTCTGTAAACTTCTCAGATGGCTTTGATTGAAATATGTTAGCATCCAATATTTAACTAAAAAAAAAAAAGATCATGTAAAAGTCCAATCAAAATGCAAATTTGTATCACAGACCACTCCCACACATCGTTTTCCTGTCTGGTCTTGCAGCAATAAGGGACTGAAGTAAGTTTAGCTATATATAACATTTTTCAGTGCTCACTCTTACTACGGGTCTGAGCAACTCTGACTTGGCTGACTCAGACTCAGACTCAGACTGAGAAGTGACTTCACAAGTGTGTCCAGTTTGGGAAAAATACACTACATACAGTAAATTTCCAGCACAGAGCTTTTATTTTGAAGTGATGTTTCCTTCTGTAGGGTGACTGTTGCACAGGTAGGAGACAGAGACAGTAAACTAACTTGATGACACGGCTGACCACAAGTGTGACACTGAAATTGAAGCTGTTATATCAAGGCCACCGGGCTCTATTGACAACAACAGTAATGTAACTAAGCAGAACACTGCAGGTGCTCGTCTACCACAGCCTTGATTGGTTAGTGTGTGAGCAGAGTAAATATTCACATATAGAGTCAGCCTAAATTGATAGTGATTTTCTCAGGTGGCTAAAATAAGTTTTGCTGCAGCCCTGTCCACAGCTGTACATGCTTAGCTTCTGTGCCAACAGATTTGATCTATCTAAGATGCTCACAAAGCAACACAGTACATAAAATAAGCAGAGCAGAAACATCAGATCAGTCAGACCACAGTGTTTAACTATATACTGCTACATGTTACACTTCAGGCTGAAATTACAACAATGTTTGGTAATTTTTCAGAACAAGTGCCAGCTGTCTGCCCTGAGGTGACTGTTGTTGTTAGCCCAACATCAGCGTGACTTGGTCT